ATAGATTATAGATTAACTAAAAGTATTCCTTAGGGGAAACAAAGGGATGGGCCAAAATAAAGGGATGGACTCTGGCTAGTTATCTGCAGCAGGAGCGTGTCCTTAAGGCACAGATTGCTCATGCTATTGTTTGTATTTTAAGAACGCCTTTAAGTGGTTTTCTGCCCTGGGTGGGCCAGGTGTTCCTTGCCTTCATTCTGGTAAACCCACAACCTTCCAGCGTGGGCATCATGGCCATTATGAACATGTCACAGTGCTGCAGAGATTTTGTTTACAGCCAGTTTTGGGGGCAGTTTATGGCCGGATGTTGGGGGCCTATTGCCAACATGATGCAACAGTCCTAGGACTGGGGCTGCAACTACAAGTGCTGGAAGCAGGGATTTCTAAGCAAGAAACTGTCAGTGTTTTTCAGACCTTATGTCAGAATTCCTAAGGGCCTGATGGGGAAGGGTTGTGCCTTCATCCTGTCTAGCAAAATTGTGGTGAAAGAATGCAGCTATATTGCCTGGTGGTAGAAATAGCTCACTAGTTCTGCACCTATGGAACTGTACCCCACCTTAATGGCAGTCCAACTGAGGAGGAGGCACTTGCTAGACTAGTATTGCTGCTTGCAATCTAGACCAGCACAGTGGCGGTTCTAATGTTCCTCCCAAAGGTGAAAAAGTTTAGGTATTAACAGAGCAGGGGAGAAGTAGCTGAGCACAAAGGAATGAATAAATCAGTTATAAATGGAGGGAAATCCAACATTACATTAACACCTTGAAAGGGACTCAGAGCAAGAGATGACATATCTGTTAGTTCAATTATAACAGATGTCTGAAAGGATGCAGCTATGTTTGTTCCTACTTTTGGAACTGAATGAAAGGAAACCTGCAGGCCCCAGTGACTTCCCTCTAAAGACATTAATACAATATGATGGACTGGACTAATTCTTACTGATTGAATGGGATTCTAGTAATGTGGCAGTAGTTTTTAAATTGTATGTCCTTTTAATGTTCAAACACCTTGGTGTTCAAAGGTGGGGGAGGGTAGACTGTGCTATTGCGAAATACATATTTGGTCTTCCTCTTATTGTAACCGAGCAAGTTATAGAGAAACGCCACACTCTGAGACAAATTCAGGAGTCTTTTATTAGCCAGAGACCGAGAGATGGCAAAGAGGCTAGATTTTCTTTTATACTTTGGTTTAGAAAGGGCAGGGGGAGTCTAGTTAAAACAGTCTTACAGAAGTAAAGCAGGCAAAAAGTTAAAAGGATAAATGGTTACAGGAAAGCAAACAGTTCCAGGTGCAGGGCTTTAAATCTATCACAAGGTGATAGATGCGGGGCTTTGGCATTATCAACCGGACACAAACGCCGGGACTTGACTGCTATTAGCCAGGTGAATTCCTGGGAACTGCGGATATAGCTTGCCACAGTATCTTATCAGTTAATTGCATTCTTGGCTGTGCTGGGAGTCAGCTTGAACAAGTTAAGTCCTTGAGGAAAGAGGGCGGGTAAGGGGCTGCAAGTGAAGGAGCCAAGATGGAGTCTGTCTGGCTCTCTTAGCTAAGGGAGAGTCAATTCACGTTAAAACAGGGCAGGGTGCGGGGTGCAGTGGCTCACGCCTGTAATCCTAGCACTTTGGGAGGCTGGGGCGGGTGGATCACAAGGTCAGGAGATCGAGACCATCCTGGCTAACACGGTGAAACCCCGTCTCTACTAAAAACACACAGAAAATTAGCCAGTTGTTGTGGTGGGCGCCTGTAGTCCTAGCCACTTGGGAGGCTGCCACAGGAGAATGGTGTGAACCCAGAAGGCAGAGTTTTCAGTGAGCTGAGATCGCGCCACTGCACTCCAGGCTGGGTGATAGAGCGAGACTCCCTCTCAAAACCAAAAAAACAAAGTAGGGTATCACACTCTGCTTTTCTGGCATACAACTCCTAAATTCAGGGAATCTCCACAGTGCTGTCTTTCGTATGCTAATGTTGACTGATAGTTGCAGGATGGGGCTGGTCAATTGGAAGGAAAAAGACATGGTTAAAGGGTTGGAACTTTCAGCCCCAAACCCTAACCTCTATGTAGGGAAGAGGACCAATGGCTTAATGAATCATGCCTATGTAATGAAGCCCAATAAAAACCCAGGACTGGATTCCAGGAGTTTGCGGACAGCTGAACAGGTAAAAGTTCCTGGAGGGTGTTGGGCCTGGGGAGGAGGTGGAAGCTCCGTGCCTCTTCCCCACACCTCACCCTATGCCTCTCTTCATCTATATCCTTGGTAATACCCTTTATAATAAACTGGTAAACTTAAGTGTTTTTTTTGAGTTCTGTGAGCTGCTCCAGCAAATTAATTAAACCCAAAGAGGGTGTTGTGGGAATCCCAACTTGAAGCTGACTGGTCAGAAGTTTTGGAGGCCTGGACTGATGACTGGTGTCTGAAAGGTAGGCAGTTTGGGGACAGAGCCCTCACTCTCTGGGATGCGATGCTGTCTCCAGGTGGATAGTGTTGGCATTAAATTGGAGGACACTCAGCTGGTGTCTGCTGCAGAATTAATTGCTTGCCAGTGGGGAGAAATCCCCACATATTTTGGGGTCACAGAAGTCTTCTGCGTTGACTGTTTTTTGTGTTTCTAGCAGAGCAATATGGTTTGAGAGGGGTTTTTTTTTGAAACAATATACATAATTTGTTCTTTCTTTTTTCTTAAATTGTGAGCTAGAGCATTTATAGGGTAGGGTGCAAATGCATTATGTGCAATTTTAAGACTAATTATAAAGACCACTAATTCCACTTAAGAAATAGAACATTGTTGGCATGCCAGAAACCTTAAGTGCTCCTCCCCAATAACAACCCCATTCTCCTCACTAGAAGTAACCATTATCCTGCTTCCTTGGTAATTATTTTCTTGCTTTGCTTCATAGTTTTACCTCCTATGTATGAATCCCTCAACAATAGTTTTGTTTTACCTGTTTTGGAATTGCTATAAATAGGGAAGAAATACCACATGACTTGTCAGTATATTGTTTAATTTTTTTTATATCCTTTAGAAAACTTTGAGCCAGGAATCATGGCAGCCAGACCCAAGCTCTACTACTTTTGTGGCAGGGGCAGGATGGAGTCCATCCGCTGGCTGCTGGCTGCAGCTGGAGAGGAGGTTGGTTCCTGACTGGGATTGGGAAGGATGGTAATTTGGGTGGGAATGAAGTAGCCTCCTTTCCCCTTCAGGCTTCGGAATGGTGCCTACAGGCTGTATCTATTATTTTCCTTTCCAATTGTCTTCCTTTGTAAGAGGTGAGGGAGGGATCATAGGATGATGGAGGATTAGGGAGGATTTGGGGAGCTGTCAGGGGAGGTGGTGTTCCAGAAGCTTCATAGGGGCTAAAAAGATTTTTGTGGATCACAAGACAAAGAAGAGAGAGGAGACCCATATCTGCCTCATTCTCTCCATTGGGACTGGCTGATTTTCTGGGGTCTTTCATCGCTGCCTCAGCACCCCAGTCCTGTAGTACTCATGGCTGCCAGCTGGAATGTTAGGCCCAGCTGCAGTCTGGCCTCCCCTTTAACTCCTCCCTTGAAACATCTACCCTATGGGATCTTTCCTTAACTCTGAATTCCCTCCACACTGACTTCTTCATAGATTTTTACAAGTGCCTTGGAATTGTTTTATGCAGGTGTAGGCTTCCTTTTACCTATCTGAATGCTATCTCCTCTAGAGCAAGGACTCATTACCTTGCTTATTTTTCTCTATTTCCTTTTAGGGACATCTCCCCTTACACTGCTTACCCACATCTCAAGGTTTGGGGGGACCAAAAAAAAAAATCAATCTTTCTCACAAAAGCTTTAGAAACATCATCAATAAATCATGATAATCTCACCTGATTAAAGATCTCTGGATTCCTTTCATTGAATATATGAGCATTAAAGAGAAATTTAACTTGTCTTTATATGAAGGGAAAATAACAGACGAGGAAGAAGGAAAAGAAGAGGAAAAATCACTGGGGAAGTTGGAGAAAGGACATGAGTTTGGAAGGAAGGAAGAACTTAGGTGATGAAAAGGAAAAAGAGAAATGGGAGCAAAAATAAAAAACCAACAAAAAACAAAATCTCTTTGTTTTCTTGAGGACTTTAAAGTTGGAATAATATCTCTTTATCTTTTATTTAGTTTGAAGAAGAATTTCTTGAAACAAGAGAACAATATGAAAGTTGCAGAAGGGTAAGCCTAGATTTGTTCAATATTATCTTATTAGAGAAAAATGGAAACCTGCTTTGGGAAGTATTTGTTTTGATAAAAGAGACAGAGCTCTAGAATGGCTACTGTTAGAAAAGGCAAGCACATAGCATGACTGCTAACATTGATTGGCTGTTCATCATGTTCCTGATACACAGCTTAATTTGCGTCAGCAAAGGCCACACCAATTAGCCTTCAGAAACTCTTATCAAGTAGGTCATGACAGTGACTTTGGTTAAGAGGATAGAATGAAAATCGTATGTGTCCGCAATAATTGGTTTAATTCTTCCCATCTCACTGAAGAATCCTTTAAGAATCCCCACATCCCCACTCCCCCCGACCTCCCACCCCCCCGCCATGTTGGCCAGACTCGTCTCAAACTCCTGACCTCAAGTGATCCGTCCACCTCAGCCTCCCAAAGTGCTGCGATTACAGGCATGAGCCACTGCACCCAGCCAACACCCTAAACTTTGAGAATCAGAAGCACTTATACTATAACATATTTACTGTAATGCAGAAAATCGTAAATAATCACGTTAACCAACACACAAAAATGCATGAGACTGCCAAATGAATCTCAGATTTTACATGAAGCAAATGGTAGCCATTTCCTCAACAACTGGGGTCTTTAATTCATCACTTTGGATAGAACCTAAAAATCACAGACAGAAATTAGAAGTGAACCATCCTTAGATTTACTGCAACTACTGAATAAGGGTATCTTGACCTCTCTTTGCTCAAACCACAGATGGACGCTTGCTTTTCGGCCAAGTGCCTTTGGTTGAAATGGATGGAATGGTGCTGACACAGACTAGAGCCATCCTCAGCTATCTTGCTGCGAAGTACAACTTCTATGGGAAGGACCTGAAGGAAAGAGTCAGGTACCATAGTGTTCATTACTCTACTTGATTCTTAGCCAAACTTCTTCAGTTCTCCACCAACTGAGACCTGGTTCAGGTGTACCTTTCAGCCTGGATTGAGACAAAAAAGACAAAAGGGACAAAGGGGAAATGACTTGCTAGACCTGGCATGCCTTGTACTTATTCTTTTTTCTTCTTTTGAGACAGGTCTCACTCTGTTGCCAGGCTGGAGTGCAGTGGCATGATCGCAGCTCACTGCAACTACCGCCTCCTGGGTTCAAGCAATTCTCATGCCTCAGCCTCCTGAGTAGCTGGGACCATAGGCATGCACCACCATGCCCAGCTAATTTTTGTATTTTTAGTAGAGACAGGGTTATGCCATGTTGGCCAGGCTGGTTTCAAACTCCTGGCCTCAAGTGATCCACTTGCTTTGGTCTCCCAAAGTGCTGGGATTATAGGCATGAGCCACCGTGCCCAGCCACCTTGTACTTATTCTTAATAAGTACTCCACATCCCCCTTTTCTGTGTACTACTCATAGTGCACTGAATGTTGCATTCAACATTCTCATATTCTCTCCCCACTCCTAACAAAATATGTTCTTAGAAAATAAACTGGTAAGTTGTTCTACATGAAGGTAGAAATGACTGATTCATCACACATACTGAGCATTATATCAGTGATCTATTGACTATAAATAATGCTCTAAAACGTATCTTGAAAACTCTAAAACAAACTTGAAACACAGTGACTTAAATCAGCAAGCATTTGTTATTGCTTACCTGTCTATGGGTGAGCAAGTATCTGGGTGGCCTATGTGAGTCTAGCTTGACTTAGCTAGGCTGCACTCACTGATGTCTGTAGTTAGCCAGGCTCTGGTCATGGGTGTTGGCTGACTATCAGTTGGGATACGAATGGACCAGGTGTCTCTCATCCTCTCCTCCTGAGCTTGTTCTCATGGCAGCGAGGCAGAGTTCTGAGAGCGACAGTGAAAGCATACTGGCCTCCTAAGTTCTGGGTTCAGAATTGGCACCTCGTCATTTCTACCTCATTCCACTCATTAAAGGAAGCCACAAATAGACTGGGAAATAGACCCCATCTATTGATGGGAGGAGCTGCCAAGTTTCATCACAAACACAGGAAGGTGAAGTTTTTTGGCCATTTTTGGGCCTCTGTATACCACAGACATCTATGCTATGCTGGGCATTGTGCTAGGCCTGGCAGAAAATGATTGGGTAATTATTCACGGGGATACTTTAGTTTCATAAGAAATAACTAGACTTAAGATAAAACAAGTACTTGCAACTATAAAATCTTACCTGGATTTGGGGTCATGGGGCCTGTTCAGAGGTCCCTAAACAGTCATCACTATAAGCTTGGACACAGTGCGCAAGGTCAGTATACACAGAAGACGCAGTAGGAGAAAGACCAGGGCTCAATTGTTCAGAAAAAGGAGAAAGAACAACACAGGAATGAGCAAGGCCCACAAAAAGTAGCAGCCCATGCCAACTTTCCCATATCTTCATCTTTAAAACAGGCTTAGTCATTCCAACCTGTAATTCCGAAGGTATATGGCAAGAGAAGCAATGTCAAACAGTATGTGAACATGATACTTTTGTAAATAAGTACAAATACGCAAACGCACTCTGCTTCTTATTGTTTTGATGCAAAGTTTTTAGTTGGTCTTTAAAAATCTCCTTGTTTTTTTCTAAGACAAGCCCTGAGCTATAGATGGTGTTGTTAATATTCTTTTTCTTTGGGTTAGCCATAAACTACAGTAAACTAAAGCAAGTGGACTAGGTGACACTAACATGAAAGAAACATTATTTGTAATTCAAATAGGACAATGAAAGTATATTATTAAATTTTTTCTTTTTCTTTTTCATTCTTTCTTTTTTTTTTTTTTTTTGAGACAAAGTCACGCTCTGTTGCCCAGGCTGCAGTGTACTAGTGTGATCTCGGCTCACTGCAACCTCTGCCTCCTGAGTTCAAGTGATTCTCCTGCCTCAGCCTCCCAAACAGCTGAGACTACAGGTACGTGCCACCACACCCTGCTGACTTTTGTATTTTTAGTAGAGATAGGTTTCACCATGTTGGTCAGGCTGGTCTCAAACTCCTGGCCTCAAGTGATCTGCCCACTTTGGCCTCCCAAAGTGCTGGGATTATAGGTGTGAGCCACCATGCCAGGCCTTTTTTTTTTTTTTTTTTTTTAATTTTTAAGAGATAGCATCTCACTATGTTGCCCAGGCCAGACCCAAACTGCTGGGCTCAAGCAATCCTCCCGTCTCATCCTCCAGCATAGTTGGGCCATAGATGTGCCACTAAGCCTGACTCCATTATTCTTCATATGCTGTTAAAAAGAAAAAGACTACAGAAGACCATTAGAACAAATTCATTAAGCAATTAGCATATAATGGGGAATACAAAGACACTCTTGAAGAGATAACTAGCACAACATGAACATATAATAGGCCAGTAAATAACAGCAATAGAGATACTATGGTTTGTTTATTTATTTAGTGCTTGGCAATGAAAGGAAAACTTTAAAGGAAATTAAACTTTTCTTTCTCAGTTGCCAGGTCAACAGAAGACCTGTTAAATTATCTGTCTTCTCTAAATAAGTGAAAATGTTCTGGTACTAATTGTTTTGTAGTTTTAATAAACTTCATTGAGTTTAGTTTTTAAAGCCATAATAATCAATTATTTGTTTATGGTAGATTTCAACTTAAGGGCATTCGTGAATTCTTTCATACATCCTTTTATTCAATAAACATTTCCAGAGACTCTACTATATCCTGGGCACTTGGCTGGTTCTGGTGCTAGAAATCATTCATGAGAGTGGAAGCTTAAGAGGAAAAATAAACATTATTTGCTCCTGCATCCATTTATACCAGAGAAGTGTTGGAGTAAGAACCCTACGCTCAAAACCTCCTGTCTGCCTGATGGTCAAATGGTTGTTTTGTCAGGATCGACATGTACGTTGATGGCACCCAGGTCCTGATGATGATGATAATTATGGCCCCCTTCAAATTCCCTGAGGAAAAACAGGAGATGCTTGCTTCCATCATGCAGAAAGCTAAAACCCGGTACTTGCCTGCCTTTGAAAAGGTAGGCTTCAGGTATCCAGGGCTTTTACATTTTGTTTCTGAGAATATTTCAAGAGTGAATATCTGAAAAGAGACACAGAGGCCATGTTAGAGCTTTACTGCCTTTGGATCAAAACTTTAAAAAGGATCCAGAACAAATTACAGGTAAAATTATGGAACCTCCAATGAAACAGAGTTGGAATATACCAAGTACAATGAAAGCATACAGCATTTCTGTTCTGTCTTTTAAAATAAGACATCAGCCTAAGGTGTTGTTGTGCCCAGACCCTCTGTTCCCCAAAGAAGACCACCAGAGTCCAGAGTCAAAGCCAAGCGGCAAGGATCTTTATGACAATTCCGAACTGGTTCCCCTCCAAATTACACCAGCCATAACAAAGGCCCCGAACAAGCCGAGTGCTGCTTTTATAGCCCCGAAAGTTAAGGCGGACCACAGGAAATTCTTCTTCCCCGCGCTTCCAGTAAAAAACCTTGAATGGCGTCTATCGCCTCCAGGTGTGTTTGGTACGGGCCCAGGAGTTTGAAGAGATATGTGTGGGATGGGCGATGGGATGTGTTGGAACTCCCGGGCCTCAGGAAGTGAGGAGATATTGCGATAGGGTGGGATGGGAGGCATGGAATGGTTGGTACTGGGCTTTGTTCTAAGCCCGGCGGAGGAATGTGCCCGGCTCTCCTCTCAGTGTGACCACCGTGAATAACTTCAGGTTTTGTTTTACGTCTAATAACTAGAGGCAATAATGCCCATCAAAAGACAAACTCTCCCTCTCATCTCTTTTTTTTTTTTTTTTTAAGACAGAAGCCTCTTGCTCCACCCAGGGTGGAGTGCAGTGGCGTGATCTCGGCTCACTGCAACCTCTGCCTCCCGGGTTCAAGTGATTCTCCTGCCTCAGCCTCCCTAGTAGCTGGGACTATAGGCGTGTACCACCATGCCTAGCTAATTTTTGTATTTTTAGTAGAGACCAGGTTTCACCATGTTGGCCTTGGTCTCGAACTCCTGGTCTCAAACTTCCAACCTCAGATGATCTGCCCGCCTCGGCCTCCCAAAGTGCTGGGATTACAGGTGTGAGCCACTGCACCCGGCAATCGGCCATTTTTTTAAGGAGCTCTGGTTTCTTTTATGCTTAACTTTTTCATGCCATAGTAGTCATAAAGAATGATGATATCTGTATGGCATCGGCACAAACAGGCAAAGCAGCTGGCAGCTGGAAGAGACTGCTTTGGGGGCTCCATCACTCCAGGCCTCTTTTGACAACCTCAAGAGCTTGCAGTTCAAATTCTCTCTTATTGGCTAGGTGCGGTGGCTCATGCCTGTAATCCCACCACTTTGGGAGTCCGAGGCAGGTGGATCACTTGAGGTCAGGAGTTTGAGACCAGCCTGGCTAACAAGGTGAAACCCTGTCTCTACCAAAAATATAAAAAATTAGCTGGGTGTGGTGGCGGGCTCCTGTAATCCCAGCTACTCAGGAGGCTGAGGCAGGAGAATCACTTGAACCCGGGAGGTGGAGGTTGCAGTGAGCTGAGATCACACCATTGCACTCCAGCCTGGGCAACAGAGCGAGACTCTGTCTCAAAAAAAAAAAAATCTCTGTTATTGACACACAGCAGTGAAGTGTGGCACCTGGGTGATGCATTCTGGCCCAAATAACCCTCCTTAATCGGATGTTGGATTATTTAGAATGCTCATTTATAAGACTATTTTATTTAACTTGGAGTTGGATATGATAGTTTTTGAAAATGTACCTTAGTGTCTATTATAGTTTGTTCCCAGAGAATCTTTTAAGAAAGTGGAATGATATGATTCATTTATATCATAGTTGTTATTTCTGAAATAAGTAGATGCTTAATACTTGGGTCTAGTCTTTGGCCAGGACTATGTTACTTCTATTCTGTAAGACACAATGTACTGAAGAGTTTTGTGTTTTGGATTTAAATGCAAAGTTACTAATTTCCTTATGTTAAGTTAAAGAACTGGGAACTATTCAAAATGCGACATCACCCTTACTTGCCATTGAGGCTTGGGCTTGTGTTATTTTTTTAGTTGCCAAACCATCTTTTCATGATATTCCTTCTGATCAAGAGAATATATCCTGGAGGCTGCTGTTTCAAACAAAGCATCTCTCTGGGGCTTTGGGATAGATCTTTTCTCTGAGTGAAGAGAATGATACTGAGCAGAAAACAAACCCTGCTTCTCTTATTCACCTATTACTGGATAACTAAACTGCTTTTTCCAAATCAAAGAATACTGTACTTCAACATAATACTTCAACTCAATAATGTAGATGCTGTATTTCAAAATATGTTAAGTCCAAGTTTTTGTATTTAGATATCAAATTTTATTTCTGAAAATGAGGTGAGTTTTAAAAATTATTTTATAAGAAGTAGATGTTCATTATATAAAAAATTAGACAACACAGAGCTGTAGAATGTAGAAAGAAACCACTACTATCCTCACCACCCAAAGATATATCTCAGTCAGTATTATTTTTATATGGTTCTTCCTAGTTTTTCCCATATAAATACATTTTTATTTGTTTTTTGGACTTTTAGATAATTATGATTATACAGGAGATAATTTTGCCGGATATTCCATTACAATTAACCCCTGATCAACATGTGAATTGGGGCATATAACTTTTGACCTCTCAAAAACTATGAATAACCTACTGTTGAATGGAAGCCTTACGGATAACATAAACAGTGGATTAACACATATTTTGTAGCTATATGTGTTAAGTACTATATTCAAAGTAAGCGAAAGAAAAAACTGTATTAAGAAAATCATAACGAAGCGAAAATATATTTACTATTCATTAAGTGGAAATGGATCATCATAAAGGTCTTCATCCTCATCATCTTCACGTTGAGTAGGCTGAGGAGGAGAAGGAGGAGGGGTTGGTCTTGCTGTCTCAGGGGTGGCAGAAGTGGAAGAAAATTATGTATAAGTGAACCTGTATAGTTCAAACCTGTGTTGTTCAAGGGTCAACCGTATTTAAAATATTTTCAGAATCAGAACTGCTATGTACCTACTACTTGGCAGTAACAAATGTCAGTACTTTTATTTTCTTGCTTAAGAATTTTACTTTCTCATTAAAACAAATGTATATAGATAGCCGAAGTCTCCTTTGAACTGTACTCAAACATTATACCCTTCCTCTCTCCCTTCTCAGAGGCAACCACTATCAGAAATTTGATGTAAATTCTTTCTCTTCATTTTTAAAAATAGAGACCTGGCTTTGAGCTGTTTTAAAAGTATTTACACGTGTGGATCTTAAAATATTTTTATGTACATAGCATCATACTATAAGTTTGTTCTACTACTTGTTTTTATCAACCAACTTTATGTTTTTGAGCCTTATAGGCAAATATCTTGTCATTGCTAATACATTTGTATTTATCCTTTTCGCTTTATTCTATTTACAAAAACAAAACTTTTCTTTGAGTTTTCCTCTGTTTTTCTAGATCCTGGTAGATGATCTGGTTTTCTTTATCTCCAGCTTTTCTTCTATGGTTCAGAAGGTAAACATTTCTTTCTGAAACTATTAATCTTTATCCTTCTCTTGATAGGACAAAGATTCAACTTTTCTCCAAACTTCTTCCTGTTTCTGTTTTTGTTAAATAATATTTTATATCCAACTTGTTTTTAAACTTCTTCTAATTTTTTTTTTTTAGCTACAACTTATGTATATTTATCAACACATTTAACTGATTCCTTGGCTAACCATTGCTCTTTGCGTCTCATGCCTTTCTTCTGGGTGCTTTTTCCTTCTAAGGGAAGAACATCTTTTTTGGAGTTCTTTCAGGAAAGGTCTGTAAGTGGTTAGCTCTTTCAGTCTTTGCTAGAAAATATCTGTATTTTTACCTTTACTCTAAAATAATGATTTAGATGTTTATAGAATTCTAGATTAATAAATTGCAAACAACTCACAATCTTTCTGTGCCCAACCATCACCAGACACCTGCACGTTAGCTCACTTCAATCACGGCATTATCAGTACTGCACAAAGCCCTCTATGCAGACAGCATAGGCACTATCTATAAAATCTTCAGCAAGCCTTTGTTTCTTTGCAGTCAGCTTCTCTTCTGCAGATCCTGCCCATTGCCTCCTCGCAACATAGTTTCCTACTTTCTTGAACAAATCTGCCTTTCTTTACAACTGTCTTGGTAAATTCTTTGACCCGGTGCCACCAGCCCAGAGAGTGGTTGCTCAGCCACACCACCTTTTTATCATCTCTTTGATTTGAAAACATTTTTATCCCTTTACAGAATCGACTCTTATTTTTGGCTCTGTGGTTAAAAATTCTTTTACATCAGTTTGTTACCTCTGTCTCATAGGTGACTTGGGTTTCCTTATATGCTGTGTAATTTTTAGCTGTGAGTTTGTCTTCAGCAGGAGTCCCATTTCATTTATTTGATATATCTCATCAAGTGTTTGTACTATAGAATTCACTGATTCTGGCGATTTTTCCCCATCCACACTAACATTTATTTTTATTTTTGCATGTATCACAAGAAGAGACATAGCACTTGAATTTACCTTTGCTCCTTATTTATCAAGTGAACCCACATTTAATGCATCTGGTACTCACAGATGCACCTGAGAGGTTTCTAAATATTCACTCTTCACTGGATAGTGAAAAATTAGCTTTCTATGTGGCTCTGCTTTGGACTTCTGGGATCACATTTGTCACTTGTTTCTATTGGTGGTATAGCCAGCAGGCTTAAGCTAGCTGTAACTTTTGTGTCTCTCTGCACTGGTGGATACAATTTTACTTAGCCACCTCCAGGTTTATAACAGGAGTCCGGTACCAGCATTTCACCACCCAAAAGGCCTTGATAATCACTGACAAATTCCCCCCACCAAAATTGTGCCAGTTTACAACATGTGTTAGAGTGTTGGTTTCATCCTATTCTTACCAGCCCTGGAGATTTTTTGTTGTTGTTGTTAAGATTCTTTATTAAATCTAATCAGAACAAAGGCTTCATGCTCTTGTTAAGTATTTAGACATGCAAAATGGTTTTTACTCTCATTTGATATTCTTTATTATTTTTCTTTCTGTAGATTTTGAATGACCATGGAGAGGATTTTCTTGTTGGCAACAAATTCAGCTGGGCAGACATACAGCTGTTAGAAGCTATTTTAATGATGGAAGAACGCAGTGCTTCTGTTCTTTCTGACTTCCCTTTACTAAAGGTAGTGTATTAACATCCACACAAAGCCCAGAAAAAAATGAACAAAGACTGAAGCAAAATATGCCTCTAGGTCAATCTCAAAAGAAACTTAAGAACACTGGCGTGTGTGTGTGTGTGTGTGTGTGTGTGTGTGTGTGTGTGGGGTGGGGTTTTGTTGTTGTTGTTATTGTTGTTTTTGTTTGTTTTTTTGAGACAAGTTCTCACTCTGTTGCCCAGGTTGGAGTGCAGTGGCATGATCATGGCTCACTGCAGACTTGACCTCTTGGACTCAAGCGATCCTCCCACCTCATCCTCCAGAGTAGCTGGTACCACAGGTGTGCGCCACCACACCTGGCTAACTTTTTTTCTTTTTTTTTTTGAAAAGAGGGGGGTTTCTCTGTGTAACCCAGGATGGCCTCAAACACCTGGCCTCAAGCAGTCCCCTGGCCTTGGCCCACCAAAGTGTTGGGATTACAGGCATAAGCCACCATGCCCAGCCCAAGAACACTGTTTCAAAAATCATTCTGACCAGGCGCGGTGGCTCACACCTGTAATCCCAACACTTTGGGAGGCCGAGGCAGGCGGATTGCGAGGTCAATAGATCAAGACCATCCTGGCCAACACGGTGAAACCCAGTCTCTACTAAAAATACAAAAATTAACTGGGCGTGGCGGCGTGTGCCTGTAATACCAGCTACTCGGGAAGCTGAGGCAGGACAATCGCTTGAACCCGGGAGGCGGAGGTTGCAGTGAGCTGAGATTGTGCCACTGTACTCCAGCCTGGGGACCCAGCGAGACTCCTCTTGAAAAAAAAAAAAAAGTAAATAAAAAATCATTCTTTTCTTCATTTTGGTTATTTTTCTCTTGCTTATCTACAGGATCTGTTAGGAAATAAAACTTTATGAAGGGGGAAAATAATTGATTATTTTGATGTCTAGCGTGAACATTTAGCATGATGCTAAACATCCTGATGTTTAGCATGAACGTTAAAAACTTTCCTGTTTTTAGTGCTTTTAAAACTTTTCTTCCTGGCAAAGCAAAGCTCACACATCTGTCTTTGTTGCTTCTCCCTCTAGGTCCTACCAGATGACCCTGCCTGCTTTTAGTCCCCCTGATTGTGGGCTCCCACATAGTTCCTCCATTGTTCAAAGCATTTGCTTAGGGGGTGCTGTCAGTCTCCTGTGGCACTGCCCCAGCCCTCAGACAGAATTCCCCTCCTGCCAGACCTTACCTGGCCTCTGTTCCAATTCCTGAGAAACATTTTATGTAATAGGTAACCACGGGTCTTGTGGTTTAAGAATTAGCAATTTTTCTTACAATAAAAGAAATGCAAGTTCATATAGTTATGTTAGACGTTTGTGTAAACCAAAAGAAGAAAAGAAAAAAGACTGGCCGGGTGCGATGGCTCACGCCTGTAATCCCAGCATTTTAGGAGGCCGAGGTGGGCAGAGCACCTGAGGTCAGGAGTTCGAGACCAGTCTGGCCAACATGGTGAAACCCCTTCTCTACTAAAAATATAAAAATTAGCTGTGCATGGTGGTGCATGCCTGTAATCCCAGCTACTCGGGAGGCTGAGGCAGGAGAATTGCTTGAACCCGGGAGGTGGAGGTTTCAGTGAGCCGAGATCGCACCACTGCACTCCAGCCTGGGCTACAGAGCAAGACTCTGTCTCAAAAAAGAAAAGAAAAAAGACCTATAATCTCACCAGCCAAATGTTATCTGCATGAGATTTCCTGACCTATTATTTTGCATTTTCCCTCCAAATAGGGTCATACTAAAGATTGTTTTGTGGCCTTCATTTAACATTCTTTTCATTATCATGAATACGTTTACAGGTCAACAAATATTCTTTTGCAATAGTATGCTATTTTATTTTCATTGATCAATAGAATCACATCTTCTTAAAAAAAATCAGAGCTATGGCCGGGTGCGATGGTTCATGCTTGTAATCCCAGCACTTTGGGAGGCTGAGGCGGGCAAATCACTAGAGGTCAGGAGTTTGAGACCAGCCTGGCCAACATGGTGAGACTCCGTCTCTTCTAAAAATATAAAAAATTAGCCAGGTGTGGTGGTGTTCACCTGTAATCCCAGCTACTAAGGAGGCTGAGGCAGGAGAATCACTTGCACCCGGGAGATGGAGGTTGTAGTGAGCCAAGATCATGCCATTGTACTCCAGCCTGGGCAACAGAGTGAGACCTCATCTAAAAAAAAAAAAAAAAGTGAGAGCTATGTAAAAAGAGCATAAATTCAGAAGTCTCATTCTCACCCCTTCCCTCCCACCACCCTGCTCCCATAATCACTTTATTGACATCATATATATACTTCCAGTGTTCCTATTCATGCAGATAAAAGCAAATCAGAATATATAGTCATATTCTTTGCAACTCTCAACTTTCTTGCACAAAACAAAATAGTGTATATTCTGTTCTGCCCTGGGCTCAAGGACCTTCCTCTTTCCTATTACATAAGAACATTTTAAATTAGTAGTTTATACTCCTTGTAGAGAAGTATCATAATTTACATAACCAGTCTCCTTTTCCTAGAAACAGGTTCTTTCCAATTTTTACCATGTTAACATTCTTTTTTTTTATTTTTTGGTGGGGGACAGAGTCTTGCTCTGTCGCCCAGGCTGGAGTGCAGTGACGCGATCTCGGCTCCCCGTAATCTCTGTCTCCTGGGTTCAAGCGATTCTCCTGCCTCAGCTTGCTGAGTAGCTGGGATTAGAGGCTCATGCCACCACGCCCAGCTAATTTTTGTATTTTTAGTAGAGACAGGGTTTCACCATGTTGGCCAGGCTGGTCTCAAACTCCTGACCTCATGATCCATCTACCTTAACCTCCAAAGTGCTGGAATTACAGCTGAGAGCCACTGCACCTGGCCCCTGTTAACATTCTTACAGCTATTTTTTTTTTTATTCAAAAAAAGTTTTTATAGAGATGGGGATCTCACTCTGTTATCTGGGCTGGTCTTGAACTACTGAGCTCAAACAATTCTCCCACCTCAGCCTCCCAAAGTACTAGGATTACAGGTGTGAGTCACCACACTTGGCCTCTTATAGCTATTTCTTTGCTCACACCCATACTTATTCCTTTATAATAATTCCTAAAACAAGAATTGATAGGTCAAGAATATGAATGTGACCAGATGTGGTGGCTCATGCCTGTAATCCCAGCACTTTGGGAGGCTAAGGCGGGTGGATCACTAGAGGTCAGGAGTTCAAGACTAGCTTGGCCAACATGGTGAGACCCTGTCTTTACTAAAAATACAAAAATTAGCCAGGTGTGGTGATGCGTGCCTGTAATCCCAGCTACTTGGGAGGCTGAGGTGGGAGAATTGCTTGAACCCAGGAGGTAGAGGTTGCAGTGAGCCGAGATTGTGCCACTGCATGCCGGCCTAGGCAATAGAGTGAAACTCCATCTCAAAAGAAAAAAAAAGGAATATGAATATTTTAGGGGTATGCACTGCCTGATTGTGACTTTTTAATAGATAATATAACTCATGCTAAACATATCAGCAGTTGTATTATTATCCATTTCAGAAATATCCAGCAAACACTTTTTGAGGGATTAATGCAGATTCAACACACTGGACTCCATAAACTGAGGTCTAAGCACCCTTCACTCATGACAAAGTTGAGATTTTTCTTAAAGGTTGTGACTGCTATTAAGGCCCTGATTTTACTGTTTCTCATTTCAGGCTTTTGAAACAAGAAATCAGCAACATCCCTACAATTAAGAAGTTCCTGCAGCCTGGGAGTCAGAGGAAACCACCTCCTGATACCCACTACGTTGACTGTGTCAGGAACATAGTGCTGCTCTAATGGCAGCAGGTTGCGTGATGGCAAACGTTATGATCCAGTCGCAGCACCAGCATGTGCTGTCTGCAGAGGATAATAGAAGCGAACTGTAGATCCCAGGAGTAAAGTGTCTGAAAAGAAGCAAACAATGCTGCCATTAACAGCAATGCTGATTAAATGTAGTATAAAACCATTCGGATGTGTGTGGCTTTTTAAAGCTTGTCAGTTATGGACGATAGTCTACAACTTTTATGAAATAAATAAATAGGAGCCAGATATATGTAGGGCAGGGGTCCACATACAACCCTGTTCTTCTGTCTGCATCAAGGTTGGGACCGTTGAGGGAAGAGGGACCCGCAATTTGCGGGGGAAGGATCTCTCCAACACCCACCCTAATTGCTGATTACTTGGGGTAAGAAAAAAAGTGGCAAATGACAAATTAGGAGTTAGACATTGGCTGATGCTAGTAAATCTTACAGGGATGTGGGGGGAACAGAAAATGTTCATTCTGAAGCCCTGAAAAAAAGTTGGATATTTAGACAACACTCTTCCACCTAACAGAGCCACCCGAGAGTGAGTTTTGCTGTGATGAAACGATTCCAAGCAGCACTGAGATTAAGATATAATACTATAACTGACAAATACTACTTATACAAGCTGAGCAAAAGACTCCCCAGCCTGGATACATTTTTTTTTTTTTTTTTTTTTAAGATACAGGGTCCTCTGTCACCCAGGCTGGGGTGCGGTGGTGCAAACATAGCTCACTGCAGCCTCGAACTCTGATACACTTTCTTTAACGGTACCTATTATGTTCCAAACTGTAAAATTTGGAGCTCAGCCTTATATTGGGGCTTGTTTGATGGGAGATGGAAGAGCTGACTTAGTCACAGAGCATCTATTCAGGATGATGTTGTAGGCACAATTGTAGTTCCTGGTGGCCTCTGGTCTGAAGCAAGGTCTCTGGTCTGCCACATGGTTTGGGGCACACAACTCTACCAGCTTCCAACTCCTGTTGGGACATTCCATCCCAGGTTGCACACTTTATTGTGTGTATCCAGGTATATGTCCTTCCTTGTGAAATGACTTAATGACCACCAGACTTCATGCCATTTCCTCAGGGCCACTACACGGCATAACCATTCCCTATATTACCTTCTTCCCCATTCACTCTTCCTCTTGTCTTCAGATGATGGACGGAGCAACAGGGTTTTTTTTTGATAACCTGGGCCATTCAGCATCCCCGCAACACAGTCCATGTAGACCTGAGCTCCAGCTCCCAGAGTGGTCAAATCCCAACCTGATATCAGCATTCAGCTTGTCATCCCACCTCATTCCCCACCCTGAGCAAGCCATTGCCAGCCAGCTACCAGATGATGAAAATGACAGAGTAACATGGATTGGGAGAAGAGGCTTTCACTGGAAACCCTGTGCCTGCTTCCTGTGTGGGATGACTTTTCCTTCTGACCTCCAGCGAAGCCAGGGATCTGAACTTGTAGGAATTGAACAGAAAAGAAAAATTCATTTTTAATAATTCAAAACTGTAAACCCAATTTCTTTCTGCTATAGTTACATGGCCTTGGTTAATAATTCAGACAGTATAAAAGGCTATATAGTGAAAAAGGAAATCCTCCTTTCTCTGAATTGCTTTCAAAACAACCACGTCTGGGCCTTTACTCCTTGCTCTAATGCCTCCGTTTGGTCTCCAAGTGCTGCGTGATTGAGTTCCCAATGCTCCAAGCCAGTTTTCCTTCGGGTCTACCTCATAGGTTTTGAAAACAAGTCCTTAGGCCTGACCTCAACCTGGCATGCTGGCATGTTCTCACAGAATTCCCCAAAGTCACCACAGACACAGCCCGCCAACCAGTCAATGCCAGAAGCAAGTTTCCTTGTCCAATCATCTCATAAGTACAAGTTGATGTCTTTCTTGTAATAGTCTTCATCTCTTCTTCTTCCCTGTGTGATTTTATTTGGGCCCATTCCCTAGCTTCTTGGTTGGAGTCTCACCCAAACTAGTAGAGGTAACCATGGATGCCCAAGGAAAACTGAGCCTCAGAGACCCTGATAGCACACAGCAGACATTCAAGGCCCCACTACGGCACCCCTCTGTCACCAGAAAGTCTTACTTTTGGACAGAGAGAGAAAGGCAAGTGAAAGCATCTAGCTCAGCATACTCATCAAAATGGAGGGCTGGGGGCTTAAAAGGGCCTTGGTCCTTTATTCCCGAAGATACTGGGATAGAAACACTGCTACTAGTCTTAGTCCTCCATTTAATGCTCTGGCAAGTGAAAATTTCTTTTCTTTTTTTTTCTTGGTGGCTATAAATATCTCCCGTTTCAATGAAAGCCTATTTTTGTCATTGTTTGGACATCAGTGTACAAAGAACTCAAACCTGAGCAGCGGCCCCCCTAATGACCCCTTGATGTTGGCAATTACTCCTCCCTTTAGACTCCTCTCTAAACTTTAAACATGTGATTGCTGCATGAGTTTCTTGGCACAGGGCTAGAGGGAGAGGCTAAGACCAGGCCAGACATGGTTTGCTTCCATTGGCTGCCAGCCCTGAGCAAAACTGACAGAAAGAAGTTTGGCTTTGATTTTGGTCTTTGATTTTCTTTATCAGGAGTGCAGGGGTCAGGGGGGAGTTGTGGTTATTACTTTCAAGCAAAGATGGGGGTTTATTAATACACACATTTGAAAAGATGAGTGTGAATTCAGGGACATTCAGACCATCAGGATGGCCCATAACTCATTCTGACACCTGTGTTGGCCTGAGGTCCTTTTGTGGTTCTGTTATTGGCTCACTCTTCCTTGGTGCACCTGCTGCTGTCATGGAGGTCCTTATGCAGCCAAAAGTAACCACGTGGAGGAGGCAGGAGAAGTTCCTCAGAAGAATGGGGCTGGTATTACCAGAGGAAGAGGAGGAGAGAGGAGGGGCCGACAGAACCACAAAGGTCTACTGTCTCCCCAGTTTCCAGTTAGGAAAGTGAGGATCAGCGAGTGCCTTACCCCATGAGCCATGATCCTACTGTATGGTGTGGCCAGCATCCTGGTTTTAGGGAAGGGAAAAATTAGACCAAAAGGAAGAAGACAAATTTGCTTAAGATCATAAGTTAATGAGTGGCTGGGCCAGAGCCCGGATCTGGAAGTCAGGACTCAAGGTTTTAAAATATATATGGCAGCAGCCTGTTGTTCAGCTTGGGAGACTTGAAATAGTCTCTCCTGTTTCTAAGGGGTGGCAAATTTGAAAATGGTGTTTCCACTCAGAGTCCTTGAAGCCATTTTTTGTTCGTTTGTTTGTTTTGTTTTGTTTTGTTTCGCTTCGTTTTGTTTTGTTTTGAGATGGAGCCTCTCTCTGTTGCCCAGGCTGGAGCTCAGTGGCACGATCTCAGCTCACTGCAACCTCCGCCTCCCAGGTTTAAGCAATTCTCCTGCCTCAGTCTCCTGAGTGGCTGGGATTACAGGTGCACACCACCATGCCTGGCTAATTTTTGTATTTTTAGTAGAGACAAGGTTTCACTATGTTGGCCAGGCTGGTCACGAACTCCTGACTTCAAGTGATCCGCCCACCTCAGCCTCCCAAAGTGCTGGGATTACAGGGGTGAGCCACTGCACTGCACCTGGCCATTGCAGCCATTTTAATGCTATGAGTTATTGTATATCTGTTTTTCCCGTAAGTCCATTTCCTGTAATCCCAGCACTTTGGGAGACCAACGCAGGAGGATTGCTTGAGCTCAGGAGTCTGAGAAGGCAACCTGGTGAAACCCCATCTCTACCAAAAATTACAAAAATTAGCCAGGCATTGTGGCACGTGCCTGTCATCCCAGCTGCTTGGGAGGCTGAGGTGGGAAGATTGCTTGAGCCTGGGACACGGTATGATCGCATCACTGCTCTCCAGCCTGGACAACAGAGCAAGACCCTGTCTCAAAACAAAACAAAACAAAACCTTGCATGGAATAGAACTTTTTTTTTCTTTCAAATTATAACAACTTTGGAACTTATGCATTTTTTTGACAAATTTTTCATCAAAGTAAAACAAACATACAGTAAAGGGGACACATCTTAAGTTTATAGCTCAATGTTGTTTTTGTTTTTACAAATGTCACATTTCTTTTTTTCTTTCTTTTGAGACAGGATCTTGCTCTGTTGCCCAGGCTGGAATGCAGTGGTCAATCATGGCTCACGGCAACTTAACTTTCCCAGCTCATGTGATCCTCCTACCTCAACCTCCCAAGTAGCTGGGACCACAGGCATGCGCCACCATGCCTGGCTAATTTTATTTTTATCTTGCTTACCTATTGTAGGTAGCTCATGTAAGTGGAATAACATAATATTTGTCCTTTTGTGTCTGGCTTATTTCACTCTGCATGTTTTCAAGGTTCATCCGTGTTGTGGCATGTAATAGAATTGTGTTCCTCTTTAAGGCTGTTTTGGGTGTTTTTAATGGAAGTAAGTTTCCCCCTGTTGTGTTATCCCCAGAAGCACTTTGTCCCATTGTGTTTCAGGACCTGCAGAGCTGACACACAGTCCCTGAGCTTGATGGCCCAACAGGATGTGGGCCATCTTTGCCTGAGATGCTATCTGGGAGTCTGTTCTTTCTGGCTTCTTTAACTGCAATGCTCTTCCCCTTCATGATTAGTTCTCAGATTTATGGAACCTCTCTGAACAATTTGTTCTTTGTACCCCATATTTAATTGTAAAAAAAAAAACCAACTTTGTCTTTTCTAAAAGGAATTTCAAGTATCAGGAAATAGGTATGGTTGTATCAGGAATAAAGGGTCCTTCATGCTGAAATTACACCACATAGAGATTGCTTTTGACAAATGTCATGGAAAAAAGTAACATTTGTTGGGTACTTTCTATAGTCCAGGCTCTCTTCCAGGTACTCTATATCCATTACATAATTTAATCCTTTCAATAACCCTCCAAGAGACATGTGAGCATTCTAGTTTGTACAGGTGAGGAAATTGAGGCCCTGAGAAGCTGGGGACCTAGGTTCCCAGAGACGTGACCACTGTGCACCTACGACTTAGGCCAAAGAAGCACAGCTGCTACTCATGCCAGGCCCCAGGCGGTAAAAGCAAATATTTGTAAAGCACAAGGCTTTGTCTACAGCCATAC